CGTTGCATCGACGAGGACTTCTTATACGTAGAAAGCTGCCCAAGAAGGTACTTCCGCAGCGCATCATGCTCGCCTCGGTTGATCAGAGTCAGACAGACCTCTTCGAAGCCTTTGCTGCTCTTGCCCCAGACCTTGGCCGCCTCCAGATAACGGCCCTTACTGGCGAGGAAGTCTCCTGAGGCGGTGGAAACAGCATCCTTTTGCGCTGTAGTACGGGCATACTGCAAAGCTTCGTCAAACATCTCCTTCTGAAGGAATACCTTCCAAACGTCTCTATCCTCGTCCTCGACTGCGATTTCGAAGATTTCCTGGCTGGTAAACAGCCAGTAAGTGTGCTGCATCGCATCCGTCAAGAGGCCCAAAGCACTCTGTCCCGGTTCCAAAACTGCTTCATCGTAGACAATCTCATCATTCATACGGTTCACAGCAACAACTCTGCCTTCAACAAGGGCTAGAATGTGCCACTGGGACAACGTCATGGCAGTTATTGGATCTTGTATAAGCTTCTTGCCTCCGCGCGCAGATTCACTGGCCGGAAACAAAGACCGCGGCAGCATCGTTGAGCTTTCAAATGGTTGTGTGAGTTTCTGTGGCGCATATGGAAGTTGCCCATGATAGATACCCTGCGAACTGAGCCATGCGAATTCATTTTCCGGCTGGCCAGTCGCATTCTGGCCTTCTGGAACAATAGGCGAGATAGCCAGTGCTGATGGTGCCGCGCTAGAAGACTTCTGAATCTCATGGCTTACAGGCGCCTCGCGTTGGAATAGATCAGCGTAGACGAGACTCCCACCTTCTCTCCCGTACCTTCCCGTGCGTCCTGAAAAACACAGCAACTTGCCGTGAGTCGCTATTAGCACCCGTCTGAACTCGGGCTTTGTAGGTATTATCTCCGCCCAAATCCCTGTGACAGGAGACCCTTCCGTTGTCTTGTAGATGGCCTGCGCATATCTCTCTTCACGGCGGTAGAATTCGGTAGATGGTTCAATGTAGGCCTCCCATATCTGGCCATCCGTCGTGCCCAAAAGTATCTCTCTTGTTGAGGCCGTAGGTAAAGAGGGGTTCCATGCGACACTTTCTATCGGAACACCTTTCAGTCGCGACAGTGGCTTAGGCTGTCGGGATTGGGTATGGAGGTAGTAGTTCTCGCCAAGGGTAGTGGTGATGATCAGATGGGACGCGGAAGGGTCCAGAAACATGCGACGTATAACGCCTATCTCCGATGACTTTTTGGGAAGGTCGATATCTAAGAAATGCGAGTCAGCCTGGCACCGGGAGTGTAGTTAACTCTCCAGGATCTCCGTCATAAGGTCACGAACCATCGATGTCCTCCGGGGTATCAAGATCTATTCGGAGGATGCGCCCCGTCGACAAAGCCAGAATCAAAACATTATTAGCGACCTGCGCTGCGACAAAGTCCGCAGCCAGTGGAAACTGCAACTGCACATGTCGGACATCGAACATGGACAAACCGGCGTCCGCAGGCTCGGTGAGGTTGCTGGGAGCAACATAACCGCTGGACGTCTCCAGCGCCATGATGCGCCAATTGTAAATAATGGTCCTATTTCATTGCTCGACCGCACAATAAGCTTGAGTGGAGCTGCCCGGACGAGGTATAGCAGCCAGGCGAGCTGGAGATGGGCGATGATGAAGATGGGGGGAGCTCGCCCGAAGCGGAGCTATTGATACCTTGGCATATATGCCTGAGGCAGACACGCTCTGTACCAGATGCCGCTTGCGTAGTATTCGATGTATATACTATTGACCACATATCTAACCAATTGAAAAGAATTGAAACCCTCAGATTTTCGTATTAGTTGGAGTATCATCATAAGCATGCTTGCAAACTATCACTACTCTATTAGGTCGCTATGCAATCTACTGAACGCCGATGCAAACCCTCAACCGACAAAGACTGAGCTGAAAGCACAAACATGCAACATGCCCGGGTATCAATCCCCTTATCCTTCAAAACATACAGCCTGGGCCCATAGAAAATAATTGAACGGTAAGCGAAGCCCATGTGGAATCAAACATTCGGATCGTCATAACCACCTACACCGTCACATCACAACGCATTCCCGGTCGAGCTTCCGTCCAATCTTCTCCCGAGATTTGTCCTTCAGCTTGTCTCTAACTCGCTCGGAGTCCCTGGTCCGTCGGGGGCTTTTGTCCTTGCGCTCACCGCTTGGAGGACTGAACTTCTCCGTCGGTCCCAGTTCATTCTCCGTCAACTCGTCCATTTCGCCTTCAGAGACTCCATCGTTGGTGAACTTCTCTCGACTGCGTCGCCCGGTGAACCGTGAGAAGGTCGTGCTGATTCTGCTCTCGCTGGCCTGGCTCCCTGCACGACTGCCTGGATTGCTCCTTGTCTGCCTCGAACTGCGTCGAGAGAATGAGAACGAGGCCCTGCCATCATCATCTCTTGGGGTAAGTCGCGGCGAAGTCGGCGCATATGACTGAATCGAGGTCGGATCAAACACTTCAGAGAACGCCACGCTCTGCTTTCTGCTATTGTGATCCATAGGGGCAGGGTCTGCGCCATCGGGGCCAGTGATTTCGAAACTAGGCCGACCTGAAGCGTATCCCTCCGCGCGAGCACCACTGATATCGTCCACAGACAGATTTTGTGGCTTCTGCGCCATGCTGGCGTTCTCCATATCTCGAGGGTCCGTCGATAGCTCAGAAGAAGGCGGTTTGTCGAACAGATTGGCTGCCGCAGCATCCTCATTGATAGGTAAGATCTGGTAGAACAAGAGGTACGGCGACTCGTGCTTCAAGGCCTGTTCGATGTCGACTAGTGTTACTCGTTCTTTCGCCAGGTCATCAAACCGCATCCAGTATCTGGAGGCATCAGAAGGGCCTGCCTCCTGGTCCGAACCATGAGAACTGGCTGGAGGCGCACCAGCACTGGTACCTCTAACAATCGATATATAGTGCCCCGAATCGACTGAGGTGCCTCGATGGCAGACCATGGCTTGCAAAGAGAGTTTGAAGTTTCCGTAGATGGGGCCTTCTTCCTCCATACTGTCATCCTGGATGAAATGGGGTAATCCTATCTCGGTCGGAATGTCTATGAATGTGTTGAGGCGTACAGCTTTTCCAGTGGGTGTCATGGAATAGCGCTTGAGACACATGCCAAGAATTGGTCGTTTCGAAGAAAAGTGCGCGGCGACTTGGGCGTCATTTGTCGGGGTGTTGTCCGTATACCATGCTATACTCACGTCAGCACTTCCTTAACGCGCATACCAGGTAAAACTTACGTATGAGACTGAAGAACTGCCACGCCGGCATCATGACCTCCTTCCTGTAGGAGCCTCTCCTTTGAGAGCTGATCGTACCGTCTTGAGCATTTTCATCGCCGGGAATAAATCGCTCCTGAACGATGCTGCTCCGTCGGTATGGAGGGGGGGCCGAGTCGACCACTTCCGTCAGCGACGCCACTGGTGTGACATCGTCCAGCGGAGAATGTGACTGGCTTGAAGCTGGCGACAAGGGTGAACCAACCTCAATGGTCTCGACATGTGTCGTACAGCCTTTGGCTATCGAGTCCATTGATTTGGTTGAGCCCACAGTGTAGCGCCGCTCCAGATGCCGCTTGACCTCAATCCTATTATTAAAGTATGACTCCAAGCAGTCTTCCAGTGTAACGGTCTCGCCATCAGCTGGCTCAGGTATCGCAACTTCCAGAAGCCTCTCGTTGACAAACTTATGATCGCCTGTTACATCCTCTTTTCCGGTATGGTAGATGTCCATCTTGAGCGTGAGAAGCGGTAATTCCAACTTTTCCGTGATGAAAGTAAACGCTTCGGACGTATCCTGTTGGCGAAGCTTGGCCGCATCTTCCCAGCCGCATTCAGCAAGGGCGTCCTGTAAATGCTTGGTCTTCGACCGAGTAGACAGTCAGCTTAAAAACAGAAACACAATCGGAAGGAATACGCACAAGGTCCGTTGTAATCAGCCTTCCCGACCGCAGCATGTTGACCCAGAGTCGCAACAGTACCGACAATTTCCGGCGGGGCTCATCATTGAAAGACCTGTAGAGAATTGCTTCGAAGCAATCCAATCGAGCGAACATGGCAAAGAGTAGTGCATCTAGGTAGCAAGTGACGCCTTCACGATTAACCGCCCCAAGAAGCTTCGTGGTTGGCGTATACCCTCTTATGATCCCCTCGATCGCATCCTCAAAAATCATGAGCATCTCAAATGCCTTGTCTACATCCCCCTTGGCGTGCTCCGACTGCAGGGCATAACTGATGTGTTCGGGCCGTAAGCCAGTAATACCGAGCTGTGCGACACGTTGCTCTAAGACCTTGATCTATTTCTTGTCAGCACCAGCGAATTCGCACGTCCCAATTTGTATTCACCTTCTTTTGATCTTCATTGCTATCCCCGGTAGGAATTTTATCGGATGAGAAAAGCCCACGAAAATGGGGGCGCGTAAGGAGGTTCGATGCCTAGATGACGAGGCGCATTAGCATGACCAGACGTCACCCATCGAAACTCCACCATACCTCTTCTTTGGCATTTTTCTTCTCACGTCTAGTGAGAAACCTGTGGATGCCACTCATCCTCAGCAGCGCATGTGTCCTAACCAGACGACGGTAAAATCAAACGAATGTGCGAAGTGGGCAGTGCGAAATGCATCGATGAGTGGGGGATCTATATAAATCCTTGCTCAGGCTCCAGAATTCCGATGGAGCACGCGAAGAGATCTCTGGTGGAGTCACAACACATATCAGACGGTGATATCACTCAGGATTAATTTTTCCCGATTTATCTTTTTTTCTCTCTTCTGACTTTTTGTCGCGATGGATTCCTCGCGATGTCCAATTAGCAAAGCCCGACGTATACTAGGCACTAGGCACCAGGTGCGATCAGTGACATCACATGTAACGGCACAAGATCTTAGCTGTAGAACAATGGATAGAAAGGCAAAGAGGGAAGTGTGCTCGAGGCAACTAGGGTATTGCTGATGTGGAAGAAAGAGCCGCCCATCAGAAGACCTTCGCAGCCGATCTCAGCGCATTGACGATAAGCTCGTTGGTGGCGGGGATGACGAAGTTGATCACATGTGGATCCCCGCCTGTGGAGGGCCCTTCCTTATGGCTGCCTGATTTCTTCCCTGCCAGATCCCCCAGGCACCAACAACCCAGGCCAGGTCCCGGACACACCACGTGATGCTGTCCCGAAAGAGTCGATGCTCGCCGGTCCGCGAAACAATTTTTGGGAATCCAGTCTCCGACCAGTCTACAGTAAACCCCCATCCCCTGTGGACCTCAATGGCTGCCAGTGAACCCTCCAGATACCTGGCAAGGTCATTGCCACGGGCCTTTGCGCCCTCTTCGCGGGCTCCGGCCCTCTGCTGGCGTCGCAATGCCTCCGATCAAGCGTCGACGAGATCTCCGTCCGCCGTTATCAACGACCTGGAGTCGACCACTCTATCCACCCCTCTGTCGGAGGACACGGTGAAGTCCTTCAATCCTCTCGAAAGAGCCAGAGCACGCAAGACGCAACTACCTCGGAGTCGGTACGTTACCTCCAAGATCCAAACCCTAGGCTTCACTGCCCTCCAACAACCATCCACCATCACCACTAACACAAAACACCTAGTTATCAATTCCGCTCGCCCAAATACGACCGTGGTCCTCTTCACCCTCACCGGCCCCCTCCGCCCTCTGATCCCTCCTCTCGACTCTTCGTCCCCGGCCCCTTCTCCCTTCCCCGTGTCGCACAGACCTGGCAATCCACCGTCGCACCGGACCTCCTCACCCTCCTCTACGTCCACAACCCCCCGGGATTCAAGCCTCCGCCGAAGGCTCCCCGTCTCCGTTCATGGGATGACAGCTCCCCGTACCACAAGAATCGATCTCTCCGTGGCCCTCGTGGCGGTGACGTTCTCCGCCTCCTCCGCAAACCGATCACCTTCAACAACATCCCCAAGATCGAGCGCATTACTCTCCACAGTTACGTCAAGCAGGCTGCCCAGTACGACTCATCATGGCTGCATGTCGCCGGTATGGCCCTGCAGGCCGTGACCAACGTCAAGGTCGAGACCTTCAAGTCCAAGACTAGCGTTGCCCAGTGGCACATCGCCCCCGGTCGTGATACCGTTGCCGCCAAGGCCGAGCTGCGCGGTGAGAACATGCTGCATTTCTTCGGAAAGCTGGTCGATGTTGTCATGCCCAGACTCAAGGATTGGCAGGGTGTGAAGGGTAGCAGTGGTGACAGCAGTGGTAACATCACTTTCGGTCTTGAGCCTGAGGAGATGGCTCTGTTCCCGGAGATTGAAGTGAACTATGATATGTAAGTTTTCCCCATTGCATTGCCAAGTGTACAACGCTTTACGTGCACACCTACATATGCACTCAGTGTCAAGTATGATCAGATCTAATCAGAATGAAATAGGTACCCCCCCAAAATGATCCCCGGTTGCCACATCACCATCCACACCAGCGCCAACACCGACAAGGACGCCCGTCTTCTGCTCAGCGCCATGGGTGTTCCCTTCTACGGCAAGCTTGTCAACTGAAGAAAAAAATCCATAACATATCAGGTGTTAGGAAATTGGTATTCGGCAATCAACTGACGGCCATTGTCCTTTCTTCCCCCATTACCATCACCTCACTCACACCTTTGTTGATTTGAGCAAACATCTTCCTCCTTGAATATGTAACATGAAAGGATAGTACCTATATCTGTGGTGTTATTAGTATTATTATTGCTGCTGCTGTTGTTGTTAGAATCATCTATGTAAAATACGCTCTGTTTTTGGTATTATAAAACTTCATATGCACATTTCCGATTCCAATTTGAATTGTAACATGGCATGACAAGAGACTCTCAGGATGCGACTAAGGAAACCAAAAAGGTGAATTCCGTGGACGTAAGTAATCGTCAAATTAAATAGTCTATCAGTTACATATAGATAAAATACTACTACAGATATATTGAAAATGAAAAGATTTGCCTCCCCTCTCCCAGGGAGTAGCAATGCACGAACAAATTCAGCATTGACCCACAATCGCAGCTTTTTCAACGGAAGCTTATTATATGTAAGATATCACGGCACATTGCAGCTCTGTACAAGAATTGAATTGACTTTCATCATGGCTTGTCAACAAGCCAAAGATAGAAGATCAGTAGGGTAAGGGGGGAAAGAGGCCGGCCGTTATATGATTGTGCTTTTGGGTGGCAAAGTGAGAAAGCAAAAGGCAGAGCAAGACAATATATGCGGTATGAGTGATGCGGAAACATGGAAAAGACAGAAACGCACGCGAATCCAGGGGGTATTCAACTCTCCACACAAATCAATCGATTAAGCATTCGGGAAGAACTTCGTCGTCAATGTATTAGGTATTGTTTCCGGGTGGGAAAGGTCCCGGTTTGATGCTATTTTCATGCAAGAGGACTGGCCAGGAATTGGCACTTGAGGAGCTCGTCGGCACTAGGTCTCTTTTCGTAATCAACTTGGAAGGTCATGTCCAAGAATGCTACGGCTTCGTCACTCGCGTGTTCGGGAGCGGGAGGTCTGGCTTTCTCTTTGCCGATGGCATAGATGGCTTGTAGCTGACTGCAGGAGGGGAAGGGATGTGCGCCGGTGAACATTTCGACCACCAGACAGCCCAGACTCCAAATGTCAGCCTTCTTGGTGTGGATCGTCTGTTGGACCACTTCAGGTGCCATCCAGTACACGCTACCCTGCATGGAGACTCGGTGTGCGTGGCCACCTCCGCCACTTGCACGGGCACCGAGGAGAGTAGAGGCTTCTACCCGTTTAGAGATACCAAAATCGGAGATCTTGATGCCGCCCTTATTGTCAACAAGGATGTTGGCACCCTTGATATCACGATGAATGATATCACGGCTGTGGAGATAAGAGAGACCGGCAAGGATTTGCCTCACGAAGTTCTTGATCAGAGGCTCTTGGAACGTGTTATACTGCTTCAGCATGGTAGCAATGGACCCTCCTGGAACGTACTCCAAGAAAATGTTCAAGTACTGGTCGTCAGCAGCAGTGCCCAGGTACTGGACAATGTTCGGGTGATGGAACCCTTGCAAAAGTTCAATCTCATGCTTGAGGGCGGTAACCATGCTATTCTTCCGCTTGTCAAATTCAGTGCCCTTGGTTGCGGACGGGATCTCAACTTGTTTCACAGCCATGAGCTCTCCGGTAATGGCATGAAGGGCGAGGAAGACACTTCCGAAGGAACCTTCACCAATGAGGGATCCCTTCATCCAGTTCTTGGGAGCAAAGTTGTTTCCAGCCAAGAAGTCATTGAGACCATCATCTTCCTCTTCCCCATCTTCTGCTACGAGGATACTCAAGCGTTCATTGAGTGAGCCTCCGTCCGTTGCAGCAACACTTGCGTTTTCATCCACCAGGCTCTGGCGCGACGTGGTGGGGTCATCCGAGCCACTGTCGAACGAAACATATGATTTGCGATTGGGCTCGATGGGCGACTCTTCCTGGAGAGGCTGGAGGGAGCTGGAAGCAATCGAGTCTCTGTACGTAGCGGAAGGAAGGTTGAACTTGGAAACAGAGAGTGGCCGCTGACCGCGAGCAGTCTGTGGCCCGGCATTGAGCCAGGTATCTGCAATACTGGGGATCGGGGGCGCATCTCTCAAGCTAGACGCATAGCTTGTATTACTGACGACACTCAAACGGCTGGCGGCCCGGCTCAGGCGCTGAGATCTGCGAACAGACATGCGCATGGTCTTTTCGATTTCCTCCCGCTGGTGACTAGGGAAATAGGACGTGATCTCGTGGATGATCATCTCGCTTGGAGGACGGGCACCGAAGAAGGACCGCAACTTGCCCACCTGACGCTCCACATTCATGGGCGGTCGCATATCGTGTTCACTAGGTGTCTGGTTGTGTCGGGAAGAAACGGGTGACATGGGCTGTCTGATATTATGCCAGGGCTCCCCAGTCAGCTGCTGGATCTTGAGCTGGTTGCGAACATTTGAACTGCTCAGAGCATTCATATGCGCTAATTGACTTTCATCTACCGCCAGCTGAGAAGCACGACGAAGCTCATCGGGATCGGGTTCCCCAGCGTGGATTTTGCGAAGAATAAGGCGACCCCGCTCGGACCTGTGAGTGCTCTCACACACCTCCATGAGCTCCTGGTCTGTCAGTCTTCTACAGTTGGCAGCATTTGGCTCCAGGCCGTCCATAACGTAGAAGCAGTAATTGCGGTATTGGTGTTCAGGGAGCTGTAGTTTCTTCAGCACGCAGAGAACGACCTCATCGGCAGTCTTGCAGTGTTTGATGTCCAGCATCTTAGTTTGTCCTCCTGTGTAGATCACTCTGATAACGGGCGAGTTCATCGGTAATTGACCCATAGTCAAGCCATCCAAACTAGGGTTTTGCCTCAAATGCGATCCAGTTCGTTCGCTGGGCGTTCCTGGCTTTCGGCTGGTCATCGAGCTACCGGAGGATGGATGGCTGAAATAGCTTTGCCCCTGTTCCATACGCCCCATTTCCATCGGGCTATTAGCGACATACTGCTGAGGACGCAGAGGCGATTCAGGCCGTGAGGACGGCCTGTTAGCGGAATAGTTGAGAGCATTAGTCTCGGCTGCTCGAGACGAGCGGCGAGTTGTGGAAGTCTGCCGGAGATTGGAGGGACGTGAGGGGTCCGATGAAGTGTTTGTGTAAGATACGGCTTCCAGCGTAGCCAGTTGATTCTGTCCATTGTAAGTTTCGAGTTAACTTGTATCAGTGGCGTATCCAACATACCAAATTCCTCGACTTGCCGTTGAGGACCGACTTGTTTCTGAGCTGCTTGATGGCAACGAATATCCGCACACGATCGCCGATTTTCTTGATACCCATCTCCTGCAGGATTTTCTGATCACATTCGATGAGGTTATTACCATTAAAGTTGTTCGCTGGAGCCGATCAGCATTCGTTGCCAGAGTATTTTGAACTGGATAACGGTGGCGCTTAGTACCTTTGAACAGTGCCTCGTATTGGCCGCAATTTATGCTGTGAAGCCAGGCAATAACCTGCTTCTCATCCCAAGATCTTGTAACGATCAGTCTTCTGCATGCTTTGTCGGAGGATTTAAAAAAGCCAAGACTTACCGGACAGCATCAAGCCCGTCATACGCGTCAGAAAAGCTTGACTCGGTAGGACTGGTGAACATCATCCCCTTTTGTGAATCTCCAATCGCGGTGGGTTTCTGCGAGGACCCAGTGTAGTAGGAGGTTGTAGGGGTCTGGGTTGCAGACACACCCAACGGGTTATAGGTTGCTTTAGCAAGCATGGCTGCGAGATATCCAGACGGACGAGGCTTTCCTTGGGTATATATGTATTCCCTGCTATAGCCCTGCTAATTTGGCGGCAAACTCCGGAATAAATAGCGTGAAAGCTGGGCTATCGCCACCTAGTGTGTATAACCTTGACGTCTTCGAAACACCGACTCGGAGGGGAAGCGGGACTCGGCAGAGATGTTGGGACGTTCAATGCATGGTCCAGAACTGCACCTCTAAGACTGTCGCGTAACTGTCAGTCCCTGAAGCGGCGGCCAACTTGAGGACAAAGACCGGGGTTGGGGTTTCCGTGGGGGCGCCTGTGGAGGGACAACATGATGACTTACAGTTCAGGCTGAATCGATATCACCGGTGTATCCAACCGAAAGAGGAGACGGTATGCGGTAGGGTATCTGTGCTGCTTTCAAAGACCCGATCCTCCTTTGTGCCGCTCTGACCAAGGTCTGGGCTGCACTAGGGGGTTGAAGTTGTCGATCTGACGTTATCGGTGGATGGAGGTCAACCCACCGGGGGGTGCTTGGAGGGGGAGGAGACAGGCGCTTGAGGCTGATGCTGAGGCTGGGAAGGTGGGTGATATGCTGTGTGCTGTGTGCTGTCTTGGGAGGAATGGAGGAATGGGTAGGGCGACCGGAGGGGAAAGTTGAAGGAGGGGGAGGGATAAGAAGGAAGAAAAGACAGTGTTGGTGGTGGTGGTGGTAGTAGTAGATTAGATTGAAAGGCAAAGTTGACAGGACAAGAACCGCCTCCCTTGGTATCTAGTAGCGCGGTCAGTCCGGAGGCTAACTAATGAATGGATTGAAACCTCTTTGCTTACAGACCGAACTGGATCTGACGGAGCCTGTTAGGCCGATCGGTCGGGGACGATGGGCTCCTCCGGCATGCGTCCTTTTAGTTGGAGTCGCGGGTTCATTCTCAAACACGCCGCCGCGGCTGATTTGTCAAGGAGTCTGATCTGAAACAATGAACCCAAGACGCCCCTCCGATTATCCCTTCCCGTCCAAGAGGTTATTCGATTCCCCTTCCTCCCCCCCATTCTTTCTTGCTATTCTTAGGTGGTTGAGCCGTCCTGGTGGGCATGTTCCATGGTTTGTGCCTGGGTGATGCTTGGTTCTTCCCAAGAACCTGGTCCCGGTAGTACTCGGGGAGTTTGTTTATTCTCTTCCCTTTGGATGATGAAACTAGACTACTTGAGTCACGGGCTAACGCGTTGGGAGGTCCCTTCAAAATGAGACAACTTTTCGTGTTCATCGGTTGAGAAACTGCCGGGTTCTGGTTGGTGTTCACGATCCTTCCATTGGGCTCCCACCCGACGGCCTTTTCTTTTTAGTGTCAGGCTTCCCATGTCTCTGACCCGATAGTAGATATCTCAGAAATCAAAACTATACCTTCTAACACCACTCACCGTCACTACATCTTCTGCGGATTACTGTTGCATTGAGCATGCTCCATTCACGACCCTGAGCTTTTATTTCATGCAGCAAGGTGTGTAAATCGATGTAGATAGATCGTGGCCCCG